GCCTTAGACCAATCCCCCCAACTTACTCTTGGTTAGGAGCTGCTAAAAATTTCATGTACTCCTATCTGACCTTCATACCTTCATCCCCACTTTCCAACCCCATTTGGTGAGCTTGGAACTTGTACATAACTGGTTTGGGTGGGGAAGTTCATTTCATCAATACTGAATGACTTGTGGAAAGCACTTGTGTCTAGTGACAGACAGAAGGCAAAGGCATAAGGAGACATGATTTGTATTGAATTTTTCCTCAATGATGAGCAAGGAATGATGTCAGAATGTCATTGGGTGGAAAGATGAGCTTCTTGCCTCCAAGGCTGAGAATTCCAGAACGATTGACACGAAGGTCTCTGGTGCGGGTGGACTCTTCTAACCACAAGTGCAGGTATTTCCCAGGCAGAGTTCAGAGTGTAAGCCAGTCAGAATAATACTTTCTGAGGAAAAAAAATAAAACTAATTAGTATCTCTTGATATTTTTGCTGTTTAAATCTTGACCAAATCAAAACGTTAATGCGGAGCAGATTTATAAACTAATGGCTCTCAGTATTGCTCTCCTTGTATGTAACTCCAAACTCATTTACCCATGAAATATCAAACCCAACATGATAAGCCAAAATACACATTCACACCCACAGGTAACAAAGGCTGAGGGAAAGAAAGGGCGGGGTTGCTGCCTTATAAGGAGACTTAAGTCCTAAGAATGCCTTAGAATCACTTTGGTAGTCTCCCACAAGACTTAGCGTCAGTTCAGTTCTCCAGTGATTAGCCTAAGTCAGTCTTTCTCAAGCCTGGGTGTGTTTCAGAGTCACCTGAAGAACATGTGAAAACACAGACAGCAATACTCCCATCACAGCTTCCAACTCAGCTCCACTGGAGGGATCCAGGGCATCTTTCAGGCAAGTCCCTAAGCAGAGCTGATGTCAGTGTGGCATCATTGTGCCATCGTGGTGTCTTGGGGTCTGAACTTGGGGAGCATCAGGTTGCTTCCGTCCAAATTATTCAACTCAACGTTTCACACATGTTGAAGGATGTGGTTTCAGTGTGTGTCCTGGAGAAAGCTGAACTGATCTAGTAAGAATTCAGTTCTGGCACGTGAGCAAGAGCAAGGAAAACGGTGCATGGATTTATCTGCCTTTCACAACTCACACAGCAGGCTTTGTCTTGAGCATATGCTGAACTCAAAATTTGGGAGCCATGGTATTATTAATATCATAGATATAATACATGGTTCCTACAAATTCCTCTGTTTTTGCCTTTCTTTCTGCCTTCCAAAATCATTGAGACAAAATATTTAAAAATGAACTAAGTCAAATCAAGTTAAGTATGAGTTGGAACTCAGGTCAAAGCTATTTATCTTAAAAGCTACCATCTATGTCTCTGGAGTGTTTCCCTACTAGGAAGGATAGGGGCCCATTTTGGAAGTCTCTCCAGCAACTTTTACAGTGGCAACTTGTAACTTGGGTTTCTATCCCACACTGCCATTGAGTAGGGCTTTAGGGTCTGGCCAGAACAAGATAAGTGCAGACACAAAAGTCAGGGGAAATTGTTCTTTTTGCTGTCAGGGGCATCACTCTGATACTTCAGACCCTATATACACACATCATTTTGCATGATTTATGGCCCTAATTAGATCCCAGTGGCAGTATTCCATCCGCTAACAATGCATATCCTAATCACCTTTTCTTCATACAAATGATTTCCTTAACTTTGCATGCATAACTTAACAGCTTTTATTTTAAAAACTCCTGTTAACAGCTTTCCTGTGGCAACCAGTAGGGGTGCTATGATAAGAATCTAATTTGCTGTAAAAATGGCTCATTTGTCAAATAAGCATTAAAATAATTGTTCCCCTTTTGACTGTTACCCTGCTGTTTCCAGTCATTTTCTAAAACTAAATTATTTACTCATTTGAAAGTTCAGCTGTGCATATTTTAATTGATATTCCCTCATAGGACTCATATTGTTAATGACAATAATTAACCTGAAAAGGCTGCTAAATAATTATGCTGGAAAGATTTGAAGTATTTGCACAGAAAGTGAAATCAGCTTTTGAAAAACTATCAAAATGTAAAACTTTCATATTTTATGGCAAAGCATGGCAATAGCTCATAATCAAATTAAAGAGAGAAAGGGAGATGGAGATTATATGATTTGATGCAGAATACTTTATGTTTTCAATATAGAAAAGTAGTCTAGCTAACAAGATCACTCTGTCATCTCTGTAGGCTCCCAATATTACTATTTTAGCTGTCAATATAAATTGTTCTCTGGCACTTAGCGTGGCTAGGAACTGGAGTAAGCTCCTTTTTTTTCCAAGACAGGGCCTCTCTTTGTAACTATGGCTGTCCTGGAACTCTGTAGACCACAATGGCCTTGAACCGAGAGATCTGACTATCTCTACCTCCCGAGTGCTGGGATTAAAGGCATTTGTCACCATTATTCAACAAGCTAGCTCATAATAAGAACACCTATGTCGTCTTCATTGCCTCTCAGGGAGTAAATTTCCTCTACTGCAGGTGGAACAAGCTTCGCTCAGATCCGACAGGGATATCCATGCCCAAAAGACTGGCAAGTGCAGCTGTCGTTCAACTGTTGGGGAGTTCTCAACAGATGTGGCAACTCATTCTCTTGGACACAATAGAAACAAAATTCTGACAAAGGAGTTCTTTTCTCCAAAACCTTAATAGACAAAAAACTGACCATGGAGGGTCTTAGACCTATCGGTTTGCCGTCCTTACAGCAACAGCCTGTCAGACTTCTGTCAGTAGAACCCACAGGCTGATAGAATCCACGCACAGAGCTGGAGACCATTTAGACACTGGAGTCCTGAAACATCCTCAGGAGCCGTGCTCCACAGATGCTTTGGAACTAGAAGAAGAAATAATTTTACAAAGCACCAAAGTGCTACAACACCAAGGAAGCTCTCTGGGGTTACCAGTATGTGAAGAGCAACCAATGGACCTAGCCACCAACTCCCTGTCATCACTGTGTCTCACTTTACTTCTACCTTACAGGCAACGCCACTGAGAGCATAATGCTATTATAAGAAAATAATGACATCTCTTTATAACATTCTACTGAATTTTGCTCACAGGAGCAAATAGCTAATGCTAATGCTAACGGCAAGCCGAAGAGTAACTTGTAAGCAAGTGGCATGCCCAACATCCACAAATATCTCCTGTGAGCACTGCATACATGGATAACTGATACATGGATAAATGATACAAATTATGTTTGCCATTGAATAAAGCTGCAGTACCAAAGCAAGCTTTGACTTTGTCTTATATTTAGATTGCATTGCTTCAATGGTCATTCTTTAGACATTAATTGATTTAGCAGTGAGAATTGGGGTACTGTGGGCAAACTCATGCCTCAAGGCACCTTCCACCTTTTCATTAGAAGCTAAGCAATCTCCCCCAAGACATCAGAGTGGGAGAAAAGACTGGGATAGTCTTGGGAGAAGACCAAAGTTTCTGTTACCAACAGGAGCCAAGGTATGAAACGGTGAAGGCTCTGACTTCAAGGTCTCCTAGGATTACCTAGCATACAACCAGGCATTAAGGGGGCATCCCCACTGATAGTCTTGTACATGTGCGAGTAGAGGGAGGCCCACTAGCTCAACCTTCTCTCTTCCTTCTTTGTCTTGAACTGCCAGTATGGAACCCTGAAAGAAGTCAGCAAACAGAAACTTTAGCATCCCAGGCTCCACTGAGCCCAGCTGCTGGTGACTGTCCCAATCACCATGCTCAAAGTTCCCCTGAGTGGGGACCCATAGCTACATTTAGATCAGGGTTGGGCACAGCAACTGTATAGTACTTGTTGAGGTAAAAGGAACTGAAGCAAGCAATAAGAACGTAAGCAGTTAAGAATGGACCGAGTGGCTTCACACGGCTTACTGATGAAATCAGTACAAGTCTGACATGGTCATCAGTTGTGAAGCCTCTTTTATTGAATTCTCTCTATCAGGCATGATCAGTAAAATTATTTCTCTGACTTTACACATGAAAACAGCTAAGTTCAGAAGTTAAATAACTGGCCCTTAGTTATACAGTTACTGGTGGAGGGACCAGAATTCCTCAAACCTTAAAAGTCCCTGTCACAAAATGCTACAGATGGTAGGAGGCTTCTCAGCCAACAAGTGTGAGAATGAAGTGATATAATGCCCATCACATTGTTATAATCATATTCATAGTAGGATAACAATACTCTATTAATAATGGTAGCAAACACACCCCCCTCTTCAGTGTCAGCCTTTTAGTTTTATAGAGCAACAGAAACCCCTGGAGGAAACCTGCCCGTACTCCACTTTATATCAGAAGAAGTTAATACTCAGAGAAGTGGATTAATGTGCCCCATGGCACAGTGTGAGAGTCACACTGTTACATCAAACTCAAGTCACAATTATCTCTTCCCTTCTGTTTGGCTTTGTAGGTCAGCTACTACTGAAAGCTTTTGCCCAAATGTTCAACCCTAACTGTTCTGAAATTCATGGCCAGAAAGAATTTTGAGTTTTGTGATGTGAACAATGCTAATAAAATCTCATTTCCCAACCACTGTTCTCTGTTATTTGAGTGATGAACAAGGAAGTAAACAGACAAAAAAGGAGGGGAGGAGCAGGAGGAGCAGGAGGAGGAACAGGAGAAGGAACAGGAGTAGGAGGAGGAAGTGGAGGAGGAGGAGAGGCAGGGGGAGCAGCAGGGGGGAGCATGGAGAGAAAGAGCAGGAGGAGATGATGGTGTCGGTATTCATTTATTCAATATTTAGAGGGTGTCTTCCATGAACTGGCCACTATTCTAGACCCAGAAAAAAAAGGAAACGGGGCATTCTGACCCTCGCAGAGTATCTAGTTCAACTAGTTGCTATCCTCGGTGGTCCCTAATTGAACCGCAAAAATCATTTTCACCTCTGCAAAGGGCATCCAAAGACCCTGGAGACCTGAGAAAGGGCAGATCATCTTGTAATAGGTTAACATGCCCACACACACACACACACACACACAGATGTACAAGGACTGGATTTTATAGGGTTTAGGAAATTCCCCCCGGGTGGATGAGAGCACACAACCATCTTTTCCATTAGTTAGAGGGATGAGCAGGGGAAGAAAGCAGATGGCGAACTCTGGAATGCCATGGTGAATCACTCGTGCTCTGAAGGTGCACGGCTCTGCCAGACTCCAGCTTAATATGGACCACGTGTGGGATCCGCGGGCTGCGTGGAGATGGCGCATTCCCATCCAGTCACCGCGAGCAAACGGTTATTTCCTTTTAAAGGGCTTTTGCAGTGCTGCCTCCCCCCCCGGGCAGAGCTCCTTGCTGCCAAGCCTATTTTTATGGTTTGTCTCCAAAACAAGTGCAAAATAGTGTTGGCTTCAGTGGAGTCCTCCCTCTGGCCACTGGAACGCCATCTGCAAGCTGAGGGGAAACAGTAAACACGACAGGTTAAGTCACTCATTACTAATATTTTCCTTAAGCTCTGAAACTTTTTAAACAAACAACAACAACAATTGTCTCATAATAACCTTCCAGAGGTTAACAGCCAGCAGGTGGTCCGGCTCAGCTGAAATGCAACCCAGACAGCTGTTTGATTATAAACTGTTGGTTCTTATGGCGATCAGGGGAAAACTCCTTGCCGAAAGGGGGTCTTCTCTTAAAAATCCCTAATGAAACAACACATAAATGTCAAAATGACAAAAATAAGGAAGTGTGTCATAGACTAAGCATTTTAATGTCCTTTCTGGCTTCCTCCAGAGTGTACTCTGGACCTAGCCACATTTAATGGCACGGATTCTGAAAGAGGCGGTACACAGCATGAATTTTTATGACCCAAATAAAACTTGAAGAGAGTCACTTTCTCTGCCACAGTCAGTGTCCTCAGCAGATGTGTGGGAGGTTCAGGTTTCAAATCAGCCACCAGAGCCAACATTTTACCTGGACCCAGAGGCATACAGAGTACAATGCCCGGATGTAAGGAAACCCAGAGATGTGTAGCATTATACTGTTTGTCCCTGAGCCAGTAAAGCATGGCAGGGATTCCCCCCGGGAAGCCCTTGTGGAGCTAACGAAAATTCTGAGAGCTGATAAAATGGGTGGAGAATGGGGAATGAAAAGTTTCTAATCAAAACCTTACATTAACGCCACACAGTCCCACGGAATGATGGCTCTGGCTGTTTTCTTGCCTGACAAAAAAAAGATCACTCCCTAAGTCAGTATTTAATTACAAGTGTATTATATTACAATAAAAAAAACATTTCAGGAAGTTCATAAAACAAAACAAAAAATTAGTTGAACCTTTTTAATATGGAAACGAAATGCTGAAATACAAAAGACTCCTAGGGAAAAGGCTACAAGGGCAGTGTTTTAAATAGAAATAAGGAATGGAAATGTAAAGAGTGAAAAAGAATTTCACAGATCCTAGTTTAGTTGTGGCTAATCAGTAGGGAAGGGAGGCTTCAGAGTATGAAGACAGACAGTTTGGGGTTTGGTACATGTGTGATTGAATCTGATCCATCTATACAAGCAAGAAGTAGCAACCAGGCAAATCCCCAGAGATAGGGGGCATGGGGAGAAGAGAGAAGAGGGAGAGACCTCCACAGGAAAACCACAATCTAAGTAACAAAGTGACCAAAAACATTTTTTTCAGAAAAAAATACTGCAGTAGGGGAAAAGAGACCTCCATGTAAAACCAGACTCCCCTCCAACAAGGAAGAAAAACAAAAATTTATGACCCAGGAGTGGGAGGGAGGAAGGAGCTATAGATAAAAAAAAAATCACAAAGGTGAAACCTTACAGGTGAGCTGTACTCCAGCTAAGCAAGCTTAACAGGAATCTTGATGAGCCAGGCCAATGTGACCAGCAAAACCTGAGGGGTGATGGGCCCCAAAACCTTGACACACCAGCGACAATCACTGTCAAGAATAGAAGAGGCTGGTCCAACAAAATTAGCAGAGTCTTTTCAAGACTGGAAAACATAAATGAGCATGAAGCTCTAGAGATACAAAAGGGGGCTGGAGAGATGGCTAGGCTCACAAGCAAAAATACAAGAGATACAAAAGGACCTAACTAAACTTTGGCTCAGGGGAGAAGTTTGTCACTAGTTTGCAGAAAAGGGCATGGCAATGACATCAGAGCAGGAAGCACCTTTTAATTTTGATAAAACCAAGTCCAGACAAGATCCTTTGAGGGCTTTTATGTCACACCAGACCCAGAGAGTGAAATTCCTCAATGGTGGCTGTAGTTTAAATAAGAACGATCCCCCATTGGTCATAGTTTGAAAGCTTGGCCTCCAACTGCTGGCACTATGCTGAGAGAAGCTAAAAAACGCCAGGAGGCCGAGATGAAGGAAGCAGGTCTCTAGAGATGGCCTTGGAAGGCTATGTTCTGCCTCTGTACCACTCTCTCCTTCTCCTTTCCCTCCCTCCCTCCTACCCTCCCTCCAGGGAATAAGACACACTCATGCTACTCACCAACCGCATGGCACGGAACCAAATGTAATGGTACATTTGGGAGGCTAAGGCAAGGGAATCACAGGTTAGAGTCTCTAGGCTACATGGTGAAGCCATGTCTGGGGAGGTGGGAGGGATCAGACACTGATGGCCTTTACCCGGACACAAGCTTACAAACTACAGCCCATGGCAGAACTGCCACCTCACTATTTTTGTAAACTAAGGTTGATACAATACAGTTATGCCCACGGATTATATCGGTGCCCAGAGCTCTTTTACATTCCAACTGCAGATTTGAATGGCTGCACAGGAGACTACACCCACACACACACACCAAACCTAAAATACAGTGTGATCCAGGTTCATCCCAATTCTTACATTGTACCCATTTGAAATATTCCCATAAAGAGAAGCGTCCCATCAACTGGTAGTCTACCTGTCATATGTGCTGCACCTACAGGAAAGTCAGGATGTGCTCCAGACTCTACTTCCTAGATTTTACCATGAGGTGGTTCCCTGATATTCTCCCATAGTAACCAAAAGCTATTATGGGACTTCTGTTTTTGATAATTTTGCTTATTTTGTTTTCAGAGTGTCATTAAAATATTTTATGTCACGTATATTTAATTTTTTATCAGTGCTTAAAAAAGTGCCCCCGCTTCTATGTAGAAACTTATTCATCTCATGCGTCCTTCTGAGACAATCACCTGTGACTGAGAACTTTATTGAGGGATTCCTCTACTCACCGAGCATGTCTCCCCATCCATGGGGTCCCTATTCTCCCTAGAAGCTATGTCCCCTTGGTGGGAAATGGTTTGTAGTAAATAAAATTAAAAACCTGGAGTATTAATACAAGGCGACCATTATTTTCATACCTTCTTGCAGTTAAATTTTGAAAACATGACTTTTCAGAAAAAGAGTGTTAAGTATGGGTTTACATGGATTCTTCCAATTCAAATATCTTTGGAACTAGATTTTTATCTTTATCTTATTGATGTCTCACTATCATTATTCCCTTAAAAAAGATTTATTTATTTATCTGTGTGTGTATGTCTGTATGTACACACACATGAGGAGGCCAGAAGGAGGTGTCTGGTGCCTTAGAGCTTGAGCCACAGGTGTTTGTGAGATGCCTGGCTTGTTCATAGAAGCTGGTACCTGAACTCTGGTCCTCATGATTTTGCAGCTAGTGCTCTTAACCCCCGAGGCATCTCCCTAGCCCATTCATTACCATTTCTAACCAAGTCAGGATAAATACCTCTTTGAATTATCCTATTTGCACATAGGAGTAGACCTTATATGCTTGTATGAAATATCCTCATGAAACTTGCTACCATGTACAGTGCCTGCATGCCAGCTCTGTCAGCAGGCTGAGTAGATGCACAATTCCTGAAGCATTCATTATCTGACTTCTCAGGGAAGATTTGCCAACATCTACCACAAGCTATGAGCTGAGCCTAGTTTCAACTTTTCAAAGGCTGACTTGGACTTTCTGAACTTAAAGGACAGCCCTTACTTTAAACGTACCCACGATAATATACACACCATCCACACAGGACAGAATACGTGACCTAGAAGATGTGCTAAACTCAAGTTCAAGATCATGTCTTCTAGGAACGATCTGAAATCATAGATGTAGCAAGAAATTTTCATCACTCCAGCAACAGATGGAAGGAACTGAAGATCATTATGTTAATAAAAATAAGCCACCTCCTGAAACACAATTATTTTGTGTTTTCTCTCTTGTGAGATATAAAACATATGGTATACATAGATATGGAATATATGGGTATACATAGATATATAGAGATAAGGCGTATAAGGGAACACACACACACACCTTGGTTAGGGTTACTAGTGCTACAATGAAACACCATGACCAAAGCAACCTAGGAGGAAGGAGTTTATCTGACTCCCACTTCCTCATCACAGTTCATCATCAAAGGAAGTCAGGGCAGGAACTCAAATAGAGCAGGAACCTGGGGGCGGGAGCTGATGCAGAGGCCATGGAGAGGTGCTGCTTACTGGCTTGCTCCTCATGGCTGTTGGAAAATGTAGGACTATCAGAAAAGGGAAGGGAATGATTGGGAGTGGGAAATAAAGTTAAAGTGGAGGATTACAGAAGACACTTGAACAAAAGGTTTTTAGTGACTCCATCACCTGAAGTCAAGAATAGTGGCTCACACCTGTAATCTCAGAACTAAGGAGACTTAGAAGGGAGAATGACCAGTCTAAGCTACATAGTGAGCTTCAAGACAGCCTGGGATACAGATTAGACCCTGTCTCAAAAACTGAGAGGAGAGAGAGACAGAGACAGACAGAGAGAGAGAGAGAGACAGAGAGAGAGAGAGAGACAGAGACAGAGACAGAGACAGAGAGACAGAGAGAAAGAGGGAGAATCCAAATCTTTAAAAATAAAGATAATAAAATAATGTGGACTTCCTGAAAGAAAATAACAAATAGGCAAGAAAATAGAGGTTCAGAGGGTCAATCTGATGACCCAACATCCAATTTGTAAAGACTCCTTAACAAATACATTTTGAAATGGTGAGATAAAAGTTATCAGGCAAGTGACATAATTTCTATGAAGTAAAATTATGATCTTCTGATGATACCCCATCTTTGGCACTCCAAGCAAAAGGATAATAAGCAGAAGTGATTTAAATGATGTGAACTATGTTCTTACTTTGTCAGCAAATACACTAAAGATATATAGTAAATACATCATTGTGAGACTTCACAGTAAGACTAGAATGAATATTCCCTGTATATATGTACCCGTGTGCGTGCATGTGTGTGTGTGTGTGTGTGTATGTGTGTACCCGTGTGTGTGTGTTCATATAAATACGTCCCAGGTGTGTGTGTGTGTGTGCATACATATGGGAACCAGATGTTGACATCAAGTGTCTTCCTTGGATGCTCTCTACCTTATTTTGAGGGGATCACTCACTGAACCTGGAGCTCCTAAATGCAGCTAGGCTCGCTGGCCAGTGTGTTTCAGGGACCCAGTCTATGTGTGACTTTTAGGTGGGTGCTGAAGATCTACAATCAGGTCCTTACGCCTGCAAGTATTCTACCAATTGAGCCATCTCCCTCACCCCATAAAGTGCAAATTCTTAGGCTATTCCAGTGAGAGCCCAGTCGTGTGCTATGGTGTGACATTTGGAGTGCCGTAGGACTTTCCAACCGCACTAACATGCTGGTTACCCTGGATTCATGACTTCAAAATCTTGGGAGTAATGACTTTCAATGCAGAATTCTTTGCCCAGCCAAACTGAAAATAAATGGAAACTCAGAGAAGCCAGCAACGCAGAACAGACATGATGTCCTTCGTTGTCATAGCTCCCTGAACCCTGTCTTAGAAGCTGATGTAATGAGTCATGTGAAGAAAACAAATGAATGTTTGGGGACAGCTGAGAACCATAGGACCCAACCCAAAACGAAGGAGAATGGCCTTGGCGGCAGCTATGTCATGGCTGTACAGGAAGGGGATCCCAAGGTTTTCTGTTCACTTTCAAGTGGAATTAATCAAATACTTTTGGAGATGGGAACTATATCTGACAGATCAAATAGGGAAAATTAAGAAAACATTCAATAATTGTTTCAACATATAGTACAACCACTATTGAAAAGATATCCTATGGGTGATAAAGGAATTTCACCAGTTACATCCAAGGAAGTATAGGCAAAAAAAAAATTATTTTATCGTATTATTTCTAGGTTAAGACATCTCA